GCAGGAATTATCTGTACGGTCTAGAGGTCGATGAGCTGGTCCACCAGCAGCAGGGAACGGGCCAGGTTGGGCAGGCTGGACTCAGAGCTGCCACTGTTACTGCGAGAGTGACCTCCTAGAAGAGGTCAGATGGACAGGAAGGTTAGGGGAGGAGGAAAGGGAGGACAGCCAGATTAAGACAAGGCCAAGGAAGGGGACAGCAGAAGAGAGAGGGAGAGAGAGAGATAGTAAACATTCACGAAAAGTCAAGAGACTCTTACGAGAGATCATGCATAGGGTTGGGAATCAAGAATTTGGGAACTGAAAAAAAAAAATTTCAAACAAACTATAAAGGAATTATAGATGATATTTGATTCAGCTAAAGACTTCACTAAACATGTAAAAATATGAGGTTAATTTGATCAATTATTAGGAGAATCTCAGTGATTTGTGCACCATTACTGAATCCACAAGTTAGGGCAAAAAAAAAACATAAGCTCTTCTCAGTGTTGTTACTGCTAATTAAAAATCGTTTTCGGTAGTTGAAATAAAGCTGATAATAAAATTAAATAAATAATAGGGAAAAAATGTAAAATTAGACATGTTGCCTTAGGAACTAAATGAAAGAAATAAGTTTAAGTACTAAAATTACTAAAAAACGAAATGTTAATTAAAAAATATATTTAAAAAACTAATAAGAATGACAAAAGCACATAATAAAATTATTAAAACTTGAAATTAAAATGAAAACTGAAATTATAAAAATGTAATCCAAAGAAGCTAATTCAAAATATTACAAAGTACTATAATAGTGCAAAAAAATAACTAAAATAACAATGACTTGTCTGAATTAATACAGCAAAATAATTAAAAGAACACGTTCCTTTTGCAGTGTCCTCACTGGTTATATGCAACAACTTATATTATATATGTGTGCGTAGCATCCAGTGCAATCTGATTTGAGAAAGAATGACTCTGTGAAATATGAACCACACTCTCAAGTATTTTTGTCATGTCCAACTCAAAATAAATTGAGAACTAGTACCTGTATTACTGTAATACTGATTTACTGTATTATAGGGCCTAAATAAGCAAAATTACAGATTGACAATGTATACTTTTCTTCAATAAATGGTATTAAATAAAAACAATGTTTCTGTATGACAGTTTTTCATATATAGGACTAGTTACTTCCTCAAAAATACTTAAAGAATAGTTAATGGAACTGGAACCAGAATTTCTATTGCCGTCTGTATTTTTTCTGTATTTTTGCAACTGCCAAAAAGAACGCACTCAAAATGTACAGTTCTCACATATGCATAACTGTTTGTTTTCATTATAATGACAGTAAGAAGCAAATTGCTCACTCATTCTCAGAAAAAGGATTTGGTTCCTCAAAGCTTACCTTGGGAGTTTTTGGAGACCAGTACTGGTATGGGGTCAAATTCATCTTCATTGGCTGTCTCAGCATGCGGAGTCTCAAAGCCCGAGATCAAACAGAAGTCTGCAGCTGAGAGGCAATGAGGGTTGGGGGAAATGACAGTTTAAGGGTAAAAGATTTAAGAGGGCGGTGGCAGGGAGAGACACAGATTGGTGAGAAAAATGCAGCACTGTTAGCATGATGTCAACCCTGAAATGCTCACATTAATGTACTTGACTGACACTTTCTTACCAAAGCTAAAAAAATGTCAAGAAAGTGCATATAGTATGTTAATAACAACTATTTTTAATTTTTAATGAAATTAACTTTACAGTTTTACCATTCTTTACATGCCTCACTAGGTTGCATAAGCTATAAATGCCAGCAGAACAAAAGAATGATTGGTTGTACCTGATATATTCTGGGAGGGGCCTCCTGAAACAGGTGCAAAGTCATCCAGACAGGAGGCGGAGCCAGAGGGGAGAGAACAGCCCAGCAAGGAGTCCTCTCCAATCAAAGGGTCTACAGCACAGTGGGGAACAACACCAGGGAAACACGTGAAAACATTAAATCACATGGACTACATAAAAATCAGGGGGTCACATCTTATTTATATTTTTGGAGGTTCACTTTTATTCTTAGTCAAGGGTTTCGTGCCATAAAGTCATAATTTAGTTTTCAGGACGATTTTCTACTCTTTTTCCTGACACTCAAAATTAAATGATTCTGCTGTATTTTTAGGTTTGCAGAGTCAAACAAAGTTTGTTTTGCTCCATCTGGACACCAAACAGGCATTATTGACATGTAAATGTGGATAGTCATGTGTTCAACATCTGTCAGAAAGTTGAGTGGCTTTTTTTACAACTTAGTTTTAAAGGGGTCATATGATGCTGCTAAAAAGAACATTATTTTGTGTATTTGGTGTAATGAAATGTGTTTATGCGGTTTAAAGTTCAAAAAACACATTATTTTCCACATACTGTACATTATTGTTTCTCCTCTATGCCCCGCCTTTTTTGAAACGTGTCGATTTTTACAAAGCTCATCGGTCTGAAAAAGCGAGGTGTGCTGTGATTGGCCAGCTATCCAATGCGTTGTGATTGGCCGAATACCTCAAGCGTGAGACGGAAATGTTACGCCCCTCACATACTGTTGATGCCGTGTCCGGCCGGAGTGATGAGACAAACATTAAAACCCATTACAAACGAGGCATTTGTTGCATCCAGTGGGGACATAATTACTGATTATAATGACTTATACTGTCTTTTTACGCGTTGCGTTGCATTGCCATAAAACCATGTCTGCATTTGTGATCGGAGAAATGACAAACAACAAGCGCTACTCTAC